AAAGATCTTCCTCGACGCAAACTACGCAACGGGACAGTCGCTCGGACGCTGGGCGTCCGAGTTCGACCAGACCATCGTCTCGTGGGGCCCGACCAATGTCTCGCCCTTCATTAATGGCATCTGGCTGGGCGCCAACGGCATGCCGGGCTCGACCATCACCCTGTACACCGCAACCTTTGTCACTGCGGAGACCCTCGGCGCGCGCCCGCATGCCCGCTTCTCCGCCCTTGCCTCCGCCACGAGACGACACCTTCTTTTGCGTGCGCGTGTTCCACATCGCGACGCGAGCCTCGCCGCGCCACTTTGAGGGCGGAAACTCGCCAGTCGCGATCACGCCGTACAACACCTTTGCCAGCCCCGGCCCGATCTTGGCGACTGAGCGCAGGTCCTTCTCCGTCGCTTTGCAAAGCTCAGCCTCCGTTTTGAACGCCTCCTGCAGGCTTGCCTGTCTCTTCGGGCCGAACTGATCGATCCTCCCGAGCCTCCGCACGAGGTCGGCCGACGGCGGCGAGATTGGCGACGTCGGCGGCATCATCGGCCGACTGGGCGGCGGGACACCAAAGCGGTCGTGTCGCGGTCAGCCGCCGCGCACAATTTTTTCTCTTTCTCATCTCGAGATACCTGGTTGTCTGCTCTATTTATCCTCCTTCTCCTATGAGCTCGTATGCCACGTCGCCGCCTGTGTTTGGGTTTCTATGTTTGCGATTTGGAATTTGGTATTTGTCCAGCTCTTTGTTTATTTATTTATGAGACCTCGAGAGAAGGCCGCCCGCAGGTCAAGCCAAGTTGGCTTTCTTTTGGCGGGCAATTTTACGAGCGAAGGCGGTCCACACACACGATAAGAAAAAGAATTCCGCGTGGCGACACTGGGGTCTGGGCAAAGAATTTTACGACGAAGAAAATGCCCTCTCCCACCAGCACGCTGCACGGGACTGGCACTAACACAGAGCCTCCGCCCGTCGACTTCCCCTCCTCCATTCCGTCGCCCGCAGCGCAAGGGCCAAGGCTCCCTCTGGGTTATTTATTGTGAAATGCTCTCCGGAATCCCGCGCGTCGTCATCCAGCGGCGGAACCCGTTGGCTAGCTCGGGCGTGAGGGTCGCGCGGCGCGGCGCGCGTTGGGCTCCGACGTTCCCCTCAAAGAAGAGGGGGCCCTGGTCGGTGATCATCGCGTCCCAGCCGACGCAAGTGAGCCACTCGAGCTCGGACGCGTCGTGCGCCGCCATCGCCTTGAGGCAAGCCTCGCGCGCGCCGGGGACGCGCTGCCCCACGAGCGGCGCCGCCATCGAGCAGAAGCCGGGCGCGTACCACGCGGCGGGCGCGACGAGCGTCTCACTCGCTGCGAGCGACGGAGGGGGCAAGGCAGGGGAGAGTGGCGGGCGCGCGGGTTGGGCGGGGCGCGCCTGCGCTGTGCGGCGGCCGGGCCGGGGCGAGGGGCCAGCGAGAGGCCAGCGGCGGGCCTATGTC